GTTTTTGTTGTTGTTGCTGCTGCTGCTGCTGTTGTTGTTGTTGTTGTTGTTGTTGTTGAATTCTCATTTCAGAGGAATAATTATTGTTGATCCCCCCCACCGGTGCATACTGTTTTTCTCAATCAAAGTGTGCCCCTCGACGCTCGCACCCTGTTTTTTGACAGGGGAAGTCTTCCTGCTCGAACTGGGCCCCTGACCCCCGGGTTACAACAACAACGGCTCCCGCGTTAGACTTCCTTACAATTTAGACAGGACCCCCGCTGCCGCCCGAGACTTCCTCGCATTTTATTCAGGAATCGCGCTCTCGCTTGGGACTTCCTTACAATTTATTCTGGAATCGCTCTCCCGGCGCTGTGGAGTCGCGCTCTCGCTGGAGACTTGCTTGCACCTTACTGAAGAATGGCCTTGCGTTGGAATTTCCTGCAATTTGCCCAAGCGCCGCGCTCCCGACACCCAGGCACCCAAGAGTCGCGCCCGTTGTGGCCCCATGTGCAAGCCCTTCGTGGCCCCGCTGTCGCCATTTGTGTCCCCCTCACTGTCCTACGTGGCCCAGTTGCTACCCTCAGTGGCCCCATAGTTGCCTTCTGTGGCCCCGCATTATCTGCACTTCGTGGCCCCCGCTCGTTCGCGCTCTTCGTGGCCCGTGGCCCCATACGCATTCCCTTCGTGTCCCCGCTGTCGCCCTTCGTGGCCTACTTCGTGATCTTCGTGGCCTTGCTGTCGTTCTCTCTCGCTCTCGCTTTCGCTCGTCGTCGCCGTCGTCGTCATTGTCGCCGTTGTCTTCGACGTCGTCGTCGTCGTCGTCGTCGTCGTCGTCGTCGTGGTCGGAACCCTGTCCGTCCCTCTTGGGGTCGGGTCGACGGTTCGCGGCCGCCCCGCCGATCAGCGCTGCCGCTGGCCAGGCCGACGGTCCGCGGCCGCCCCGCTGCTTGCCGGGGCCCGGCCTGCAGGGAAGAAAGTTATACCCCCCAAAAGGGGTTCGATCGAAGACGAAGAGGGCGGGAATCGAGGGTTTGGGAAATACGCGTTATTGAACACTCGAGCATATAAGGGCGAACAGTCTTAAAATTATTGTTGTGGTTGTTGTTGTTGTTGTTCTTCTTCTTCTTCTTCTTCTTTTGTGTGTGTTGGCTCGAGAGGATCCAGGACGCTCCTCGATGGTCCCCGCCGAGAAAGACACCGATGCCCACGCCCGAGCGACGCCCGGGGACCGGGGGGCAGCCGTGCCCCGGCCCCTCCCGTGGATATGTGCAATGAGTGCGCTGGGCCCCGACGCGTGCTGGACAACAAGGCAGGCGGGAAAAGCTGCGCCCGCTTCGGCCTCGGGAGGCCCTCGCCGGGCTCCGGGACCGTGCAGCCTTTGAGCAGGGACTGACCGTCCCGGCATTCCAATAGTCATACCACGAAATGTTCTTAGAACCCCAAAAGGTTCTCAGAACAAAAACAATGCTCTTAGAACATCAGCCCGATGTGGGAAAGCAAGGCAGTCCCAGCCAGAACTGTTCTAAGAACATTTCGTGGGAACCGCAAGAGGGTCTCAGAACATTGTGTGGTAGGGCTATAGGCGAGCCAGGACGCTTCGCCACTGCCTGAAACCTGGAAGCCTGCTGGCAGGCGGGCCGCCCCCGGCTGCGGCACGCAGGCGCGGGCGGAAGAGCCGAGGGCGGCCGCGGAGGCAGAGAGGAGGGGGAGGAGGAGGGGGAGGGGTAGGAGGAGGAGGAGGAGGAGGGGGAGGAGGAGGAGGAGGGGGAGGAGGAGGAGGAGGAGGAGGAGGAGGAAGGAGGAGGAGGAGGAGGGAGCGAAGAGGGAGGAGGGAGGAAAAGCCGGCCCTGGAGACACAGAGGCTTCTCGCCCGTCTCGGCCCCGCCGGCCGGGCCCCGGGGCCGTCGGAAGACCGGCTCGGGAGGGAGACCACCGGCCCATGGGGAACGAAGACCTCTGGGGGCACCGCGCGGAACAGATCCCTCCCCGCTGGGGCGGGGGCAACGCCCGCCCTCCCCGCCGGGGCGGGGGCAGGTCCGGCCGGATCCCGGAGGCTCGGCGGTTCTGGGGGACGTCTGGGGCGCCGCAGGCGCCGCAGAGCGTCCCGAAACGCGGTGAGAGCGACCCGGAACGCTGTGGAAAGATCTTGTCCCCGTCAGGGCCCCACGCGCTCTTGCCCTGGCCCTCCCGTGCGCTGGGTCCTCGACCCCAGATCTCCGAGGATATGATTCCTCCAATCTTTTGATCGTTCCTCGATTTCGGCCTCCGGGGCCTCTTCATCTTAGTTCGGGCATGGTTTCCTACAAGCGGATTTTCGACGAACAAAGAGAGTAATCAACAAATGATGAGACAGAGTCTTTAAACAGTCGAAAAATAATTTCCAGACATTTTTTCACTATTTTTGAATATTCCTCCTGCAGAGGGACATGTCCGACTGAATGTCAGTCTGGCCTGGAGGAACATCAAACACGGCTCTGCGACGCAAAGCCACTCCGTGGGTCCTTTTTAAAGCCTGAAGGGCCCGCGCCCAAAATACCCCAAACAGGTAAAAAAGTACTCAACAACTAGTCCCCAGACTAGTTATTTGTGGACAATTCTTGCACTTTTTTGGGGTATTTTTTATTTTTCGTCGAAAATCCCTTGGTAGGGGGACAGGCCCGACCTAACCCCAGGGGACGGGGTCGGGACCTCTGGTCCCCCGTCCCCGCCGCCTGGCGCGGGTGCCTCGTTGCCCGGGACCTCCTGCGGGGGCCCTCCCTCGAGGCTCGAGGTCTCCGGGCGCTCTCGTCGGTCCTCGGCGGCTCTCCAGCCTCGGGCTGCTTTCCATAGGGGAACGAACAATGGCATAAACATATAACCTCGGAGGTCCGCGCGGATTCCTCGGATCGGCGCTGGAGCCCCCTGGCGGCGCCTCCGGCGCCGCCCCTGGCGCGCTCCGCGCGCCATGGAAGGGGGTCCAACGCCGATCCGAGAAATCCGCGCGGACCTGCGAGGTGTTGTGTTTACGTCATTGTTTGTTTCCCTATTCCAGCGGCTGCGCCTCGCCGAGTGCGTTCCGGGGGTGCACGGTTCGCTCCGAACGGCCGCCGGAGGCCCGAGTGATGACCCGAAAACAGCCAGGCTGGGGCATGTGCCTTGGGCCCGCGAACCGCCGGTGTGTGCGCCATTGGCCTGGCAGCGCCCCGGCTCAGGCTGCGGGCGCGATGCGCGATCGCCACCGCTGCGACTAGAGACGTGCGTGCTGGTCTTCGTTTTTCTTGTGAGGCTGTTCGCGCGACGTTCCTCCTCCCCGCCGCCTGTCTGCCTCCCGCTGCCGCCTTGTCTTTTTTGTTTTGTTGGTTCTCCCTCTTCTCCTTCTTCTGCTTCGTTGGTTCTCCTTCTTCTTCTTCTTCTGCTTGTCTTTTTTTGTTTTGTTGGTTTTCCTTCTTCTTCTTCTTCTTCTTCTGCCGCCTTCCTCTCACTGCCCCCCGTCGGGGCGAGGGGGAGAAAAGGCCCGGGGGAGGACAGCCCCTTCTCCAGGGGTCTGTTCTGGCCAGTTCCTCGAGCGGCGCCCAGCCCTGGCCAAGAGGGCGCTCCCGGAGAGCCGAAAAAAGCCCCGGCGTCTTCTCTCGATCCTCGATTCTCGACCTCTTTTGTGCACCAGCGCAGCCAACGGCCCCTTTCCATCGAGGGCTGAAGGGGAACGATGCAATCACCGCGCAGAAGGCACGAAGAGGCTCATCTGGCCACAACGAGCCTCGGCCACGAACAGGTTCCGCGACCCAGATCTCAGCATCGACGCGAAAACCACAGCCCCTGCTGGTCCCAACGTGAGCATTACTTCAGCGTCTTGGCCAGAAACACACAAAACGCAATGAACATAAACTTTTGGCGCTTTTTATTCTTCGACTGACTGCCGGGGGGACCGGCTCGGAGGGGGGAGCGTTCGCCTGGCGTCGGCGAGGTATCGTTGATAGATCGGCGTTGGGCCCTCGGGCGTTGGGCCCTCGATGGCGAAACCGGACGCTCCTGGCAGAGGGAAGGGGGGGCCCAGGCCCTGCCTTTGACACGGGATGTGTCGACCCATCCCAGGCTCGGGGCTCCCGACTGGGCCACAAATCGGGGGCCCAACCCTTCGATGTAGGAGGGGTGGCGTCCATCCTCGGTAGGGGGTGTGTCCGAATAGCCCGCTCGGGGTGTATCCCAGGGTTTTTTCCTCTTTTCTGAGCGGCTTCATTTTTCGTCGGAGTCGGGGGCCCTGCGACGCTTGGCGACGAATGGGCCAATTGGGTGTGGACGTTCTCCCCTTTGGGACAGTCCCCCCTTGCCGTTGCCCCCGACGACCCCTCTCCCTCCCCCCAGCCCTCCCTCCCTCCCTCCCTCCCTCCCTCCACCACTCCACCTCCACCTCCACCTCCACTCCTCCTCTTCCCCTCCTCCTCCTCTCTCCTCCTCCTCCTCCTCCTCCTCCTCCTTTCCTCCGACTACTGTCCTTGATCCATTCACTCTGGCTCTCCTCCTCCTCCTCCCAACCTCCTCCTCCTCCTCCTCCTCCTCCTCCTCCTCTCCTCCTCCTCCTCTCACCCCTCCTCCTCTCCCTTCCACTCCCCGTCCCTCCACCTCCTCCTCCTCCTCCTCCTCCCTCCTCCTCCCCATCCCTTCCTCCTCCTGCCTCCTCCTCCTACTCCGCCTTATCCTCCTCCTCCTCCTCCTCCTCCTCTCCTCCTCCTCGTCTTCCTCCTCCTCCTCCTCCTCCTCCTCCTCCCCTTTCCTCCTCCTCCCCCTCCTCTCCTTCCCTACTCCTCCTCCTCCTCCTCCTCCTCCTTCCTCCTCCTCCTCCTCCTCTCCTCCTCGTCCTCGTCCGGCGTCCTCGTCCTCGTCCTCGTCCTCGTCCTCGTCCGTCCTCCGTCCTCCTCCTCCTCCTCCTCCTCCTCCTCCTCCTCCTCCTCCTCCTCCTCCTCCTCCTCCTCCTCCTCCTCCTCCTCTAAGGCGTTCCTTCATCGAGGACCCCCCCCCGAGGCGAGGGCGGCGGTCGGCGCCGTCGGCGAGGGCGGCTGGCGCTGCGAAATCTTCGCTGCCCAGAATCGGCGCCTCGAGCGGGCCGCTCCCGAGGTCTGCCCCCCCCCCCCCCCCCCCCCATCTGTCTTCTGCTGCTCCTACCTCTTCCTCCTACCTTCTACCGCCTTCTCCTCCTACCTCCTCCTCCTCCTCCTCCTCCTCCTCCTCCTCCTCCTCCCCTCCTCCTTCGCCCTCTCGGCCTCCCTCCTCGCCTCCTCCTTCCTCCCGTTCCCCCATCCCTCCCTCCTTCCCGCCCTCGGTCTCCTCCCCTCCTCCGTCCTGCGGTGATTCCTTGTCCTCCCCCCACATCCTCATCCTCCTACGTCATCCTCCTACGTCCTCCTCCTCCTCCTCCTCCTCCTCGACACAGCCCTGCGCGACGATAGTGTCGCCGCGCACCTTTAAATACGATGGGTGGCGCTTCCCCTTTGATGTGGGGCCGTTACCACTTGCGCCACCATGCACTCACGTTCACCCCACGGGTGAAACAGCAAAAACTCCAACGAGTTAAGTGCACACAGCCCTGCGCGACGATAGTGTCGCCGCGCACCTTTAAATACGATGGGTGGCGCTTCCCCTTTGATGTGGGGCCGTTACCACTTGCGCCACCATGCACTCACGTTCACCCCACGGGTGAAACAGCAAAAACTCCAACGAGTTAAGTGCAGGATGAGCCAGACTCTCCAGCACGAACCAAGAGGCCCGAACGGAGTGGCTCCACAAGCTGGCGCCACTCTTTATTCACAGAGAACCGTGCAGGAGTACGGCCAAGGTTCGACAAAACCCTCGCTCCCCACGACCGCGGCGGCGGCGGCCCAGCACAGCTGGTGGAGAGCGAGGCCGAGACCTGAGTCCCCCCACACCCACACACGACACACACCACACACCACATCCGCCCAGCCGCCCCGCCCACCTGAAACGGGTGAATGACATGCTGCCTGTCTGGTGCCGTTGCCACGCGCGCACACGCAAGGTCAGCGCGCGAGAGCACAGGCGGCACAACGGCAGGCGGCGGCAGCACGACGAGGGGCGGCTGGCGGGGTCCGCGCGCCCGCGCCGTCCTCTCCTTGTCGGAGACGTGCGCAGCGTCGAGGTCGGCCATGATGGGCCCAATCTTGGCGACCCAGGCGGCAAGACGTGAGAGAACCTTGGCCTTGGCCTGATGCGCCTGCCGCACAGGCCAGGGTACTCTCGATCTGTCAGCCTGCCATCGGGCCCAATCATCAGCAAGCTTGTTTCCTTCAAACTCAAAGGGGGAGATCTCGCCTCGCTGGAGGCTAGCACGCGTGCTGTGCGCCTTAACTTTGCGCACTTGCACATGCTCGAGGCCCCCCCATTCATCTATCTGCAGCCACACCTGAACCCAGATTTCAGCCCAGGCGCTGCGGCTGCTGCAACAGTACTCACGCCCGCGCACATACAACCCATCGTGCACAAACGCGCTGTCAGTGTACATGATAGTGCCAGGGGTACAATGCTGCAAGGCTCGCATCAAAGCTACAAGCTCGGCAGCATCAATATCGGCACAGGCTATTGCGAGCGTGCCGCAGTAAACCGAAAGAGTCCTGAACGGATACTCAGGCTGCACAGCAACCAGGGCCCAGGCAAGGGCCTGGGAAGGCCCAGGGAGGTCCTGATCCATCCAGGATCCGTCCAGAAAAACATCCCCCCCCATATCGGTGGGCCCTCTCGCAAACCACCTGGCGGGAGGCTCGAGGGAGGGAGGAGGAGCAGCAGCAGGGCAGAGGAGCCTCTCGGCAAGGAGGCGAGGGAGGGCGGAAGTGGAGGCTTGCACCAACCCTGGCAGAAACTCAGGAGGCTCCTCGTGGGGAAAAAAACTCCTCGTGCCTGCCGCACGCGCCATGTCTGTGCACCAAAGTCCCTGGAGCATCCTGACAGGCTAGGCACGTGGGCTGAGAAACCATCGAGCACTCCCATTGCCTGTGCTGTGGCCACTGACCACCAGCAATCACGGACCGAAGGTGGCCTTTCTCTTGAGGCGAAAGCTTCTTCGAACGCAAAAGAGAGAGGATGGGGTCAAGGTTGCATCCATTGGCCAGCTCAGGCACACCCTCACGCTCAACAACTTTGGCCCACAACCAATCTTGGATCACCCGACAGAGCCAGGTGCGGACGGTGCGTGGAGACTGCTCACGCACACTAATCGCACCAGCTCTGGGGTGGACCCAATCAAAACCATCCATGGAAAAGCCCAGGCGTTTCGCAGTGGCCGCGCAGGCCGAGAAGGGGCCTCGGGCGGCGGCCCACGGATTCCCATGGTCCCTGAAAAACTGCCAGGCCTCCTGAAGGCCTTGCTCCAAAACGCGCCTGGGCAGAAGCTCATCCCAGACGGCAGTGGCACAGGCCAGAAGCGGATCCAGCTGCAACTGAAAAGCAGGATCGCTGGAGGGCTTATCGGACAGCATCAAAAGTAAAGTGACACTTTTTCCCGCGAGGCGATTGCTCTGCACGTGCGCCTGCAAAGATCGAGCCTCGCGCAACAAAGTTGAGTTCGTGCCGTGCACGCTGCCCCCATACTTGACGGAGGCCATTACAGCGGACTGAATCATGTAGTGAACTCTGCGCTTTGCGATGTGCTTGCCAAAACTCACGAGCTTCCGAGCCCGAGCACGTGCTGGACCCCTGCGCTCGTGGCGCGTGGCTTGAGACCTCACACGCGCAGCAGCAAAATCGATCCCGAGATTACGCTCATGGCTCACTCCTTTGACCTTGTAGCGGGCCAGCCTGCGCACCAGGGAGGCACGCACGAGAAGCGACGAACCAACGACCTTAGACTTACGACGGGCGATGGGAAGATGGACGGCCTCGAGTTCCTGGTGCAGCAGGCGCGTGGCACCAGATAAATCTGCAATAACATCACACTCTCGGCCTGCCTGGTGCAAGCCGAAGTCGTCTACAACGACGCCCATTCGCACCAGCCTATAGCGATCCGCGACCTTGTCTACAGGGCCGAGGAGAATCATCTGCAACATAAGCGTGGCGAAGTGGCAGCCAGGCAGCACAGCCTGTAACGTGCACACAGGTTCGGACACAGCGTTATCCAAGCTCAAAACTCGCGGAAGGCGATATAGCTCAACGAGAAGCTTTAGCTGGCGGGGCGGAAACCCCGACTCCGACGCAGCCCTGACCAGCTCACTGTGTCTAATGTGCTCGAAGGCCTTCTGAAGGTCCAACAGCACCAGCGCGCTGCACATGTCACGCGAATGTGCCCATTCGGACGAAGCGGCTTGCACCCATGCCAGCTTGTCGCTGCCGCGGCCCGAGGTGGCCCACCAGTATGGGCGCGCGTGTGCAGCCTGCCACTGAGAGACCAATGACTTACGAAGCCTACCCTGCACGCGTGCCAAGATATGGATGAGGGCAATAGGGCGCAGCCCCCCATCACGTTTGGCAAGGAAGACAACTTTGGTCCAGATGGTGGGCCACGAGCACGAGCTTTCAACATCGGCCAAAACGTCCAGGAAGGCCTCGAGGGCCTGGTCCGAGAGCACTAGCAACTGTCTGGGGCTGATCTGGTCGAAGCCACACCCAGAGCACTTGGGAAAGGACTTCAGACACCGCTTCAAATCATCAAGAGAGGGCCTGGCAAATTCTGGCCCTAAATCTGGCCAACAAATCACATCCTCGAGGGCGCCCACCTTCCACCACCCAGCCCACTCCTCCTCCAAAAGCGAAACCTCCTCCTGCAAGGTGGCAGGCGCTCCTGAGGGGGACAAACTGCTGGCATGCCAGGGGGTGGCTGGCTTACTACATGCATAGAGGGCAGCTCCTCCATTAAATGAGTGCGCTTGCACCCACTCCTTCCAATGCTGATTCTTGGCCTTCTCGGCCACTCGATGTTCTGAAGCGGCTTGCTTGTGTGCCAGCTTGGCGAGCGCAGAAGCTAACCAGTATGGCAGGGCCCGTGCATACTCCAGCAGGTGCAGCCATGGTTGAGACTTGGCTGCTGCAACCTTGGCCTTCTGGGCCAAACCGGGCAAGCTTCGGGCCAGCTTCAGAGTACCATATCGGAGGGCCCCAGGTTGCCAGACCCCAAGGCCATCAAAACATCGGGCGAGGAGACGCCACCACAGAGCCCCTGGAGAAAGCCGAGGAAACGCGAGGTCTCGAGGGGCCTGAGGCTTGCAGACTTGAAAGCGCGGACCCTCAGACCTACCGAAGTAATCGCTGTCAGCCTCGAGGTCGAGGCCGTATGCGTCCGCCCAGTCGCGCTCCGCGAAGTCCAGCCAAAGCCGCCAGGCGGCATCGAGAGGAAGACCATCGCGTTGCAGACCGTACTGCTGCCACAAATCACCTGGGTCTCGCGCGCGGCAGCCCATGGGCACATCCTGCGGCAGCCGCTTGGGTACCCTGGCCACCAGATGCGCCATCTCGGCCTCAGTGCGCGGCCGCAGGGTGAGCACCACAGGAAAGTGCGGCGCCGTGCCCACGTCGAACAGCACCTCGGCCTTGGCCCCATGGTGCAGGGACCTCGACATCACGAAGTAGTCAATGCAACGTCCAGCGCTCGCCGAACTGTTAGTACAAGTAGCGCAGCTCGGTGCAACGCAGACAGCGTCCATGCCATCTGTCCATTCTGAACCCTCCAGCGTATCGGGCAGCAGCTGAAAGTCACCGCACAGGACGAAGGGTATCGCTATCTGCTTGAGGACTCCGCCGAGGTCTTCTAAGATCTTCCAATTTCGAGGACCTAGCTCTTCACTGTGGTGTAGGTAGACTGTAGCAAGAGCAAACCCACCTGGTATCAGCCCAGAGCAATGCATAACCCTGGCCCTGCCTGCAGCCACAACCTTCGGCACCAGCTCGAACTCGGCGAGCCCAGCGGCAACGGGAACCATGTGCATGATGCCGCCCGAGGTGCCGCCCTTGTGCGTGTCGACCGCTGGGCAGCACGAGGGGCGCCAGCCGATCTTGCTTAGCTTGGACTCCCAAGCCGCACACTCAGGCGCACGCAGGTGGTGCTCCTGAACGGCCACAGCCCGCGCAGCACGCACGCGGGAATGCTTCAGCAA